ATTAATGAAAACTCACTTTTGAAGAGAATGGAAATAAACTGAAAGAATTTTTTCAAAAAAAAAGTAAATCATCCATACCTTGCAAGATAACAAAAATAAAATAAAATAAGATAATAAATAAACATATAAATATTTAAAATTTGAGCATAAAAGAAGACATGGCTATCTTTTGGGAATTAATTGAGTGAAAACCAAATCACAAATAAAAGGTTAGTTTATACAAGAAATAAATAAAAAAAAAACACCACATACACATTTAAGATTATATATATTAAGTTTTAAACATACTTTATAAAAATAAACTACTTACAGCAGATTATTATCGAGTTATAGCATATCAATTAAAAATATATTAATTAAAAATAAATTATAAGTAATTATTTAAATAATAATAATTAATATGTTTAAATATTTACTTTTATTTTTTCAGTTACCTCTTTTAAATCAAACTATTTAAACTTTAACTGATTAATTATACAGTTAGCTTTTATAGTTTTTAAAATAAATAATAAATTATTATTATTAATTAAATTTTACATTATATAGTTACCTTTTTAAAACAAAAACTAAATAATAAGGATTTGATTTTAATTAAATCTCTACTTAACCGTTGTCCAATAACTACCCACCCCCATTTCACCCAATACACGACATCTTCCCCAATACACGTCATCTTCCCCAATACGCCTAAATCTTCATCTCCCCTAAATCCCCTGACTGATCACCATTGCTATTACCCTTCATACATCAATCCTCAAACATGCCTCACTCATCATCTTTTCCATCACGCCTGATCTCACTCAAGAAAAGCCCAGTTATTAAAAAAAAGATTAATTCAAATCAAAAATTAAAAAACTTGAAGAAAAACTATTTTTTCTTAGTTAGTTTCGTCAATACACATATTGGAAATATTTCTTACATAATTTACCTTCGTTTACCAAACACTAACATATATTCAAAATATAATAAATACTAATATGATACATAATTCACATACAATTGATACACAATTATTTAAAAAAATACATCATGTCATGCACATAAGTTGTTATTCACAACAAACTTTGTACTTTAAAAACATAACAAATTGGAATCTTCAATTTTATTATAACTTAAACATCTATATAGTTACGTGCTTTTTTTTAAAATATGGTTTATACTAAAACCCTGTTTCATACAAAATATGTAATATTATGCATATTGATTAAAAACAACAAAACACAAACCAACAAAATGTAACAAATACCAACCTCATGAATTTCACCTTCCACCATGTTTAATTAATATATATAAAATGTTCTCCATCACAGCAAATCACGTTTTTTCAACAGCAAAATATATTCAATCAATACAAAAAAAATGAAATGAAATCTGATGAAAAAATTGAGAGAAACGCGAGAAAAAAAATAGATTTTACAATGATATCAATTTATTAGAGCGTTTTAAGGAAATAAATCACAACTTAATTTGATTTTCAACTAATTTGAATGTTTTAAGGTAACTAGATATAATCAGATTTTTTTTAAATTTTCTTAAAATGTGTTAATCAATTATCTTTCTATTAAATGTATTTAATTTAAATAAAAAAAGATGTTATTTTCCAATTCAAAATTGGTCCTTTTTTATTAATTATTTTAAGTTATTTAAAATTTAAATTTTATTTCTAATAATAATCTATAACTTGCTATATTAAATGTTATACATTGGAAGACAAACTCTAATGCTATAGATTGAGAATATTATTATAAAACATGCTATATACCTATTTTTTACTAAATAAATAAGCAAAATAAAGGAAGAAATATTGAACTTGGGCCATTTGCCCAAATTCCAAATCTGATCGGCCCAAATCCTGTTCTAATACTTAAATTAGGCCCAAAGCATGAGTTTGGCATATTTAAATCAAAATCCAGCTGCTGGACTTTCCTTAAGGCCTTGGCCCCTTTTTGCTTTAGAGAATTTGAGTATACATTCAGCGTATACCATTGTATAAACGTTCATACAACATCTGAAACCCATATATGTTAATACACAACCTATATTAGGACCCCCCAACACTGACATCTCGTAGTTTCATCCTTGTACTCCTGTATTACGAATTTGGGCCTAGTATATGATGTACATAAGTGTTGTATATCAGTGTATATTTCTGCATATAGCAGGTATACAACCTGTTTTTGGGCTTTTGGAGGTTGTGTTTCAGCTTTCCGTTCTATGTTTCAGCTTCCAATGATCCAAATAGAACAGAGGCTAATTCGAAACAACTCGATGATATGCAAGGATGGAGTCCAAAATAGACTCGGATTGATAACATGCAACAAAATGATAATAACAATTTGCGTCCAAAAATAATTGGGCAACAATAATACCAAAGACAAATCATAGCAACTTTTAAACTAATATATGGCAAGTGGCTAGATTGAATTTAAACAATGTAGATCTAAATAAGGAGTACAAATTACAAAGACTCAAGCCATGCTGATGATAAAAACAAATGGATATTTAAACTATTGTTAGCACTTAATGTCCATAACAATACATATACTGTCCAATCCATTTAACAAAGACATAATATATATATATATATATATTAGACTCTAAACTTGACTTCAAATTTTAACTTTAACCTCCAACTTTCATAATGCACAAATAAGCACTTTAACTATCCAACTTTAAAATAAATAAACACATGAATCCTACATGGCACAGTACACGTAGGACACCTCGTAGGACAAAAAATGACATGTGTGTCTATTTGTTCAACTTTATACAAGTTTAAGTGTCTACTTGTGCACACCCAAAGTTGAAGGGCATAAATGTGAGGCGAAACCAAGGTAAAAGGGCATGTTTACGTACTATGCCTTTAACAAATAAATACATGCTACCAAATGTAGTTGTTTCGTACAAAAATGAATGACACATGAATTAATAATACATGGATTAGTAATGCAGAAATTAGCTGTACAGGGATTAATATTGCAGAGTTTACTTTTATCAAGTGTTTGGTTCATTGTTTCCAATCCCAACTTGTGTTTGTATTCGAATTCTTTAAATGTCTCCTTTTCAATTATACCCTTAAATTATTATGTAATTTAGTCAAGGTATATAATTGTTGAAATTTTTTCTTTTTATGACATTTTAACTAGCAATGAGAAAAATAATTTTATTGCCAGGTTTCCAATTTTCTACTTGAATTATTTGAGGATAAATAATTTTCATCTTAATAAATTGATCACTCATAAAATGCCATTTTTAAATTTAAAAAAGACAAATTAACTACTTTTAAAATTATAAAGACGTCAACAATGATAAAATTAAATATACCATCTACATTTACACATAAAAATTGCAAGTTATAGTTTTAACATGTATGTAATTTTTTAAATGGCCTAAGTCATCTCCAGCCACTCAAAGTTGTCCGCATAATTCATTTAGACACCTCAACTAATCCTTGTGCCAATTGAACACTTTATTTGTTCAAAAGTCATTCCTATTAGACACAAAATGCTGACATGACAAAAAACGTGTAATTCCATTCTTTGAGCGCGTTAATTTATTAAAAATAATATTTTTTTTAATTTATACCCCTAAGTTAATTTTTTTAAAAAATAATTAACAAAAAAAAAAGATCTGTTCTTCTTCTTCCCTATTTCTATCAACCCCAACCCAACACAACCCCCATACCCATGCTCCAATGGTTATCTTCTTCCCCATCATTCTAATGATTTCAAAATTCTTAGCATCAGTGGTTATCTTCTTCCCCCACCATTCTAATGGTTTCAAAATTCTTAGTATTTTGTTTCATTCTTCTTTTTTTTTTTCATTTTTTGTAAAAAAAATCTGCTAATTTAATATGTGAAGAAGAAAAATTCGAACATTGGAGTTAAAAATTGATCGATATTCGTCTATCTCTATTTCGATCACTCCGATTGAACAAACATTGCCACTCATTAATTTATTAAAGATGATATTAAAAAATTCAACATACTTTCAATTTTTCTTGGTCATGAATCTTAAAAACAATTTATTGACGTTTATTTATTTTCACAAAAATCTCAAAACAAATGGAGAATAACAGATGATAGGAGATTAAATTTGAAAGGGAGATTTTTATTTTTGTTATGGTGGCTGCCGGGGTTACTGGGTAGAAGAATGGATAAAGGAAGAAGAAAGGTCAAAGGGTTAGGTGGGGGTGGGAGAGATTTTCTTTTGTTAATATTTTTGTGATTAATAAATAAAGGAAAACTATTTTTCATTTTTTTAAATTAAAAAATTATATTTTATTGCTAGATTGGGTCCATGTGCCAAGTGTCATAATTTTATTTGTCATTTTTTTAAGTCAAAGCGCGTAAACTACACACAAAATATTTTTTAAAAAAAGTTTTCGTTTTATGTTCAATAGATACATATTCTTTAATATTAAAGTGTCTAATAGGTAATAGTCTTAGTTGAGGTGTCTAAGTGAATCATGCGAACAACTTTAAGGGGCCGCATATGACTTAAGCCTTTTTAAATTGTTCAAAGTACGAATAGCTACTGATATATTTGTCTCTTAATTAGTAAATGTTAAATAACTCAAATTTTAAATATCTATTGATTTGAATTAGCTATATTTAGTAACAAATAACTCTCTCTAAATAATTCAAAAGCTAATTTATTTAACTTAATTTACTAGTACAAATATAAAACATAAAATCAAGAAAATGAAAAAAAATTAAAAAGATTTGTGGGATAATTGTCTTTATGTGACTTATCACATGGTATTATACCCTATGTATTACTAATACCTCCAAATGGAAGGTATTAGTTATACATCCTATAATATCATGTAGGATATATGTTGGAATGTATACATTCACAAGTTTCGATGGGACCAGGTCCTCAAGACAGTTATAATAACGGACAGTAAAATAAGTGTCGAAAGTAAAGATTGCACAAACAAATTTACGTGGAAACCTCCTTACTCTAGGGAGTAATACCACGACCTATCTCAATAGAGCTTTTCAAACTGCTTTTGTTAATCTTATCAAAGCAAAAACAAAATACAGTTTACAAACTGAGATTAGCCTGCTAATCTCCACCCTAAGCAATAGTACCTATTACTTAGATGAGTCAAAGCAGATAAAACACTGCCCACTATACAAATTTTAACTTGATTAATAAGTAGATACATCACTCTCCACTATACAAATTCTAACTTGATTAATATATTTTGTTAGTAACAACCTCAACTACCCTTAACCTGGTTCTTAGAACGATTCACCCAAAATATTAAACGTTTTTATCACAAGCGAAATGATTCCTACAATATAAGCTTATTACAAACATTAAGAACAAAAACATGTATATAAATCACTCTTTCAATTGATCAGGTCCTTGTTGTATGTTTTCTTGTGCTTGAGTTCTTCCTTAAAGATGACTTTGTCTTTTTAAATTTGTGAATTTAATTTTCCAAATCTTGAGTTGTGTTTTGTTGGAAGAGACTACGTAAAATCAACACAACTCTTTGGGACCGCTCATTGGCTGAGAGTCTGTTGCTTAGAAAAACTGTGCACCTATCATATCAGAGGTGGCAACTTTTCTGTCAGCTGTCTTGTCACCTTTTCATATCGCAGTCTTGTAAGGACCAGGTTCCCTGCAAATTTCTTTGTGAGTTCTTGAAAGGCTTGTTGGCTAACTTTCTTCTTTGGATGAATGAATTTAATATGGTGTTGTCACGTAGAAAATATCAAACATAAAGAGTTATTACCCGTTGAGCAAACACCCTCGTCCATTCTGATTGGTGTAGTACGATGACACTTCACCAACCTCTTTACAGTCGTACCCCATTATGGATCTGAATGAGAGAACTCTGCATGGGATCGGATTCCTGCATGTGTGAAACACTAAAGCATACTATCTCCTACGCTCTTTCTATTGGTGTAGGACACTGCACTTTTCACCTATCACCTGACATGACAACTTTGCAGTTGTACCCCATTTGTATCTAGACGAGTGTACTCTGCTAGGGACCAGGTCCCTGCATTTGTGTGAGGATCATCAAAACATCTAAAATATAACAATGCAAAACTAATTCGTGGATTAGTTATACATAAGCTCAAATTTCTACAAACATAATATTAAACTATACCATATATAATATATGGATCATTTCTTTTGATGCAACCTACCAAAACGACCCTTAACAGTTAAAGCTAAGAAACTTAGGACAACTTTAGTTGATGTTAAATGCAAAAACACTATAACATGTCCCTAAGGAACGAATTCAAATCACTTAATATGCTAACACAAACATTAAATGAGCAAGCATACACACACACAAATAGACCCAGGGAATTAAGAGGCAAATAACCATGTCAACAATCCATGCTAAGCTAAAAAAAAGGAAGAAGAAAAAAGGATCATAGGCATCATAAGAAAATATTATCAAGATGTAACTATGTTTTGAAATAGGGATGAGCATTAAACAAGGGAAGAAATCAATTTTTTCACGGAGCATTGAGCCTAAATAATTACAACCTACATCTTACCCGACAAATAGAGAATTAGGAGTATGAGAAAAAATCGATATATTAACCATGGAAGCAAGTCATCAAACCAATTTTTAACATCAGAAAACAAATATGACTTTAACACTTAAAAGAAATTAATATTGGTATTTAGTTCATGTTTAAGCACAGAAAGACATAAACACAATAAAAGTCGAGAAGAAGGAGATGAACTGAAACACGATAAGGATGAGGTTGTTACCTTCTTTTGGAAAGTGAACGGGAGAACGAGCTAGCACGATAACGATTCTTTCACCAAAATGAGACTGCAAAAATAGAGAAAAGTGTCGAGTTCCAAAACAAAATCGAAACTTAAGTATGCTCTATATCACTTGTCTGTTTTGGTTCTATTTTCTACCTCAAAACCTTTGTATTTTCTTAGTAGTATTGTAGCTAATTTCTGAATATGACTAAAATTTCTAACCCTTCTCTCAGTGAAAAATGACCAACCTCACAATGAATGGAAAAAAAGAGTATTTATAGGGAATTTCTAGGGTTCAAAAAGGGGGGGGAAATCGAGAGGGGCATTGGAGTGAATTCATAATTTGAATTCCTTCCGGAGATAAGGTAGTCGTAGGACTTTTGTAAGAAATTGTACAATTTCCTCAACGGAAACAAGAGAAGAGTCACTTGATTTCAGGCAACCTACAAGATTAAGACACCTGGAAGATTCTTCGTACGGAGGATAAGGACGATGGGAGAAGGATGCAGTTGGATCGATGGACTTAGTTCACGATTTTTCTAGAGTTCTCTGCGTTGCTGGACGCGAGAGAAGAAGCAGCAGGGGCCGGTTCTTTGGTGTTGTTTGGAATTGTTGTTGCATATGTTGTTGTATGTTTGGAACGGATTTGCTGATAAGAGTTGGGCTTGAGTTATTTGATAGAAGATTGGGCTGAAGGGAAGAGTAAAAGGGAAGCTTACATAAATATACTATAGTACAAAAATATTATTCGTTTATAGCAATAATATTTTTTTCACTTCATCACTTTTAATCATTTATAAAAACCAATAAAATCAGATAAGCTTACTGTTTGAAATCTCGATTCAAACATTGAAATTCTTGGATAGTCACAAATACAAGTTTAATTCATATTACAAAGAACAATTTATTATTCACATAAAATACAGATTTTAATGATATCACACATTTTAATACATTTATAATACAATGTGTCAAATTTTTTACCAAACAAACATGATATATTTTTAAACAGTTATAATTCATATATATTGTATACATAATTCACTTTTAATACATATTGTAAATTTAACATAGTATTGCTATAAATGATAATAAATAAAAGGTATCGCTAAAATGAGTAATTATTTATTAAAATGTATCTATTTATGTAATTTTTCCTTAGAGTAAAAATGTTGACTATGTTTGTAATAAAAGACTAGGTATTGAATTGAGGATTTGACCAAATAGATTGAAACTATGGCCATTTGAACTCACGAATTTAGCTAAATTGAGCTTAATTGGTGGATCCAGCTAGAATCCTAAATAAGACAAATTAACATAAATTAATTAATGAGCTTCTTAATCTTAACAAAATAAAATATGAACTTACTGTAAATTAATGATTCAAAATTATAACCATAATTTAAACTAAGCTGACAAATAACATACTTACTAAAGTTACAATCTTTTGAGATAAGTTTTGAATGTTTATAAAATAATAAAATTATATACAAAATTATATAAAACATATATGTTGCCTAACATATTATAAAAATTGACAAAACTATTTAAAGTAACTTGCAAACTTTATATTTGTTTCTTAAAATTTTGTAAAACTAATTATTATAAATCGTTTAAAATTGAAAAATTTCGAAATGATTAATTTATATTGTGGTGGTCCACAATTGGATGTCAACAATCCATCCCGCGAAAGCTGAGAGTCAACCTGTCGGAACTTCTCAAACACAACCCGCTTCGCGATCACGATGACCAAACAACCTAGTCTTCGTGAACACCGAACTGAACATCACTGGTTACCTTAAACTGAGGCACGCAAACACAAAAAAGCATAATTGTTGCATCAACTGACGCAACAAGGCTCAAAACCCTTACCGGGTGCTCAAGATTCATTCGGAATCCTGTACACATAAATTAAATATGTTATCCGACCAAATTCGGCATCCAAGACTCTCATAAGTCTTACTATTCCAAGATTTTTTGATGATATCCTCACAAATACAGGGATCCGATCTTCAGCAGAGTATGCTCGTCCAGGTCTATATGCTTAACAGTTAGAAAGCTATCGTGTAAGAGGTTAGTGAGGTCGCTAGTCTACCACACCAATCAGAATGGACGAGGTTATTTTGTCTAACGGTCAATAACTCTTTTTGGTTGATATATTCAACATGAAAAACAACAAATCACTCATTCATTCAAAGAGAGGATATTCAAGCTTCAATAAAACAGAAAGGGACCTTATAGACTAACAAGTTTCTTCTTGAACCTGTTGTTCATTTTGATTGCTTGTATTTGTGCTTATATTGTAGGATTCGTTTCATACGTGATAGAAAAGTTTCAATCCTTGGTTGAATTTCTATAAGAGCTTAGTTGAGAGGAACTTTAATTTGTGTCTTAATGTTAAAAGTCTATATTAATCAGTTGTGTTAGTATAGTGCGCAATAGAGACATTGCTTTGACTAGTGTAAATAATTTTTTTATTGCTTAGAATAGCGATTAGAAGGTTAATCTCATATGTGTTGTAAATTGTGTTTTACTTTTGTTGAGAAGATAAGTAAAAATAATTTAAAAATCTTGTGAGATAGGTCATGGTTTTACTTGACTAAGGAGGTTTCCACGTAAAGTTGTGTGTGCTGTCTTTACTTTCAGTATCCTTTTTTTTAATCTTAAATGTGTTAAGGACATGGTCCTGTCATACCTAGTGGACACATACATTCCAACGGACTCAACTAAGATGTCAAAACTTCTAATCGAGACCGTCTCAATAAAAAATGGGTCCCACATTCGAATTTGATTTAAGTCAACTTCCACAATTGAGCTCAAAATGAGTGTGAAAGCCTCAAGATCCGCATAAAGATCCTTCAAGACCAAACTCGATGATTAAGAGCTAACATAACCGTCATAAATGCATTATAGACCGTCAACCTTAAGTTTTAACGGAAGTTAACCATTCAAGTTTCAAAAACTTCAAAACATAAAAACTTGCACTAAACCCAAACGAACAACCATGTCATGACCCAAGAGTATACCCTAGAAGATATGGTATTCTCAAATCGTGGAACGATGTACTTGACCTCTCGGAGGTCTTGTACAAGACCTTTGTCATCATTCATTGCATAGATGTATGAAAAGTTTTGCGGAATTAAAACTTTTCATACGAAATAATAATACTTCAAAATATATTTTTTATAGAAAACAGTATGAAAGAGTAAGTCTCAAAGTCGCCATCTTAGACACACGAATATCTTAGATCACGGTCCATACATCAACAAAATAGAAATACCTAAGTCTATTACAATGTCATTAACAAGAAAATCTAAACATATTTATGTCCTCGAATCAATTTAGGACACATCACAATGTTGCTTGAATGAATGCTAATATCCAAGCTTCACTTCAATAACTCCTCTTAAATTCCATCTATACCTCTAGAGATAAGATAAAATATATGGTTAGTACATTAGAATGCACTAAGTATGATGACATGCAATAAAATCATGCTAAAAAGACATTTGTATAAAACATGCTCTTTTTGGAGAAACTTCATAACACAAGTATAAGAAATCACATTCAACACCAACTTCACATATAACTCATATATTATACTAAAGCATAAACATCACTTCAAAAGATATAAGCATAAGACCCTCATACCAAAGGTCATCCTAAGGCTCACTTGAGTGAGACATGAAGAGGCGGCCATACAACCCCTTCTCGCCCACCTAAGAGCTTCATACGTGGGATTTTTTTGGCAAAGGAAAGTCAAGAGAAAGGGTGGTAGCTATTCTAGCAAGTCTTCTGTGGAGGAGTAGTAGCGTTGACAAAGAAGAAGGAGCCGGTTAAAAGAAAGCGAATCTTTCCTCAAGGTTTCCTAAGATAAGATTATTCACTTTATTCATTTAAAGCCCCTACGTGAAGTTACTCTAGACTCACCTAAGTAAAACATGAAGAGACCGTTCATACACCCTCTCTAAACCTACCTAAGCAATCCTTAAAGTTAATCAAGATAAGTATACCTTTTCCTTCACATGCATTTTACTTAAGTCACTATGTTCATTAAACCATTTAAGAGACATTCAACAATTAAGGACTTTCACATAATGGTCTTGGAAAATATCAGGGAACCTACACACTAGCATCTTCAAATCCTACTCATGAAATTTCTAGATAGCATCCCATTTCACTACCTAAACTTTGTAGAACCTATCAAATAGTAGAATGTATCCCACATGATGAGAATAGGAAATAGACCATACTATCTAGGCATGGAATCCAGAGTCAATCCTACTCCGATAGAGGGTGTTCTGCTTGCCAAGGGTAGAAGTAGGACATTCTATGTAGGCACATGGTTAAGGAATATCAAGGGTTTCTTTGTACTCTAATCTCATCTTAAATAGAGCCACTCCCCAAGCATACTCACTCGGTGCCAGACTTTGTTCTCATAGAGTAATTCAATCAAAGGGCATATGAAGAGGTATTATATAGAAGTCATAACCAATTTATAATACACCTTACCAACGGGGGTCCACTAGGGCTGACACACAATGGTTAAATAGGATATAGGTTGAAGGTTCCACATAATTTACCCTCTTAACTATGTTCAAGTCATAACCTTTTATCTAGGTTGAAGGTTCCACATAATTGGCCCTCTTAACTATGTTCAAGATTATATTTCAATCATACATACACATTCATGACAAAGGTATTTTAGCCTATTAAGTAAAGAGTCATATTCACATTCTACATGTATCAAGTAGAGGGACATATGTCTACCAAGACAAGACACACATATCATCATCTTCTCACATGTACAATATCATTCAAGTAACATATAGGGACAACCAAGTATACTGCAAGTCACCCTACACACTCCTATAGAATCATCAGCATAACTCATCATAATGTTCATACAGTCAACTAGGAAGATTCATACTTCAACATCAAGCAACACATATTAAAGCATCACCATAGCCTACTATAGACACCTAGCATCAACTAGAATAACACATGCCTTGACTTCACATAGACACATAAGTCATATGGACCTTCACAATGATCAAATATCAAAGTTATAGCATGATAATATCCTAATTTATAAAGTAATGCCGACAAGGCCACATTTTTCACAAATATATCACATAAGCACCACCACCATAAGTGGACAACACCAAACATCATAATTGAAATAACTATCTACAAAACATAGAGAAGGTTAGGTCAACATGCCACAATTCCAACCACAAAACCTCCAATCCATAGCCAATTCAACCAATTCAATCCACAAAGGCTCTTACCAATAATCATAATCACCACCTCAACCCAATAATCACAATATACAATGATCCAAGATAATACAATATAAAATTCATCAATTTAGGACAACCTACATACAATTCTAATATGCTTTTTTCGTAATTTAATAATCCAACTCAAACTATAGAAGAAATCAATATAATTGAGACATGATCAAAACACCCATAATATAACCAAAATAAAGAAAGCATGATTTGTATGGGTTCATGGAGTTTTTGTTCTAAAATGATCAAATTAACATCAATTCAGTCATAATTCATTGAATTCAAAATGTTTTATGCAAGAACCCATGGCTAGATAATAGAATAGGAGAATTCATGTTTTTGATCATTTTTGAAAATCATTGAAATTGACTCCTTGA